ACTAATCTGGGGGTGATAATGGACCCGTCCTTAAAACTCAACAGTCACGTAAACATGATGGTAAAATCCTGTTTTTTTCAGCTGAGACGGCTGTCTAAGCTGAAGCCTATATTCTCCAAAAAGAACCTTGAGTCAGTGATCCACGCCTTCATAACATCTAGGCTTGATTACTGCAATTCACTCCTGTTTGGAATCAGTCAGTCCTCCATTGCTCGTCTACAACTGGTCCAAAATGCTGCAGCCCGATTTTTAACAGAGCACATCACGCCAGTTTTGGCCTCCCTGCACTGGCTACCCATTCACCTTCGGATCCATTTCAAAATTCTCATGTATGTTTTTAAATCACTGAACAGTTCCGCCTCATCCTATCTCACTGATCTTCTGCAGCCATATGTCCCACCGCGCTCTCTGAGGTCAGCAGACCAGATGCTTCTCTCAGTCCCAGAAACCCGTCGTAAGCTCAGGGGTGACAGGGCTTTCTCTGTTGCAGGTCCACGACTGTGGAATGAGTTGCCACTGAGTGTCCGGCAGGCTCCCACACTCTCAGTCTTTAAGTCTCGCTTGAAGACCCACTTCTATTCGCTTGCCTTTAACACGGTGTGATTTGTTTTGGTCCGGTCTGTTCTCTACTCTGTTGGCCATTTTAGTTAGCTTCTGCTGCTATTTGTATCTGTATTTCTATTTTATGTTTTCCTGTCTGCTGTGCATGTTTGGTTCTTTTGTACAGCACTTTGGTTGGCATTGTTGCAGTTTTAAGTGCTATATAAATAAATTGGTATGGTATGGTATGGTATCACAGGGACACATAAAGACAACCATTCTCTCTCTCACTCACTCACACCTAGGGACAATTTAGAGTTACGAATCAGCCTAACATGCATGTTTTTGGTCTGTGGGCGGAAACCAGAGTTCCTGGAGAAAACACATGCATGCACGAAGAAAACATGCAAACTCCACCCACAAAGGTCCCCCAGCCAGGATTTGAACCTGCGACCTTCTCACTGAGAGGCAACATCTCTACAACTGCACCACCGCGCCACCCTGCATATTAACTGCAAAAAAATAATAATACTTGTGAATCAAAATTATTGCGGTTGCTTCCAGATAAGAACGTTTTATTTTGACTTCAGGATCGTAGG